AGGTTCATAGTGAGGTTACGTATCAAAGATTCCCCTCCAACCACTCTCAGTGGTTCAGACCCCAAACTATAGATAGAAAAAGAAAGTAAAAATGTAATAAGCAAAATAATCAAAGCCAGAAGCATGAGCCAGGTGTAAAGGCCAGCTAGAAGAAAGCTGGTCTGTCAGATCCATCAGATGTTATCAGGGCATCCACCCAGCCCTGGAGGTGGGAGGATGACTGCAGTGCTGTTTTCTGTTATCACTCAGCCTCTTATTTCTTGGCTTGAGACAGATCCATCCAGGGCTTTGCAGGTATAGGAGGGAGAGAGGATTGATTGCAGCCAGGAATCTGGGATGAAACCCACCCGTGTTTGGCAGCTGTGCAGCTCCAGCCCTGTAACACCACCTGGAGCTGATCCACGTGCAGGCACTGCCAGCAGCACCTCCCACCCACCCTAGGGGTTCACAGCCTTGCAGTTTGTGGTGTACTATAGCTCTCTCATATGAAATATCAGAAACAACTATTTTTGTAGTAAAGTTTTGCAGCAGTGTGAATGCACATCACCTTGCTAGCAGAGCATCACAGAGTGCGTGCAGTGCTGGGAACACTGGAAAACACTGCACTGTGTCTGTTGTTTTGCTGGGCTTGGCTGGCTTGCTCATGTCTGTGACAGCAGGGCCCCGTGCAGGTCCAGGCACTACAGCAAATGGAGCTGCCAAATGCTTTACCATAGCCTTCCTCCTTCCAGACCAGCTGTGCTCATCCCATCCCTGCTCCTTACCCACTGGCACGCTGTCTCTGGGCAGGTTTTCACCTGTGGGTTGAGGCTGTGACTGGGGCAGATCCCAACCCATGGCAGCCAGGAGCCCTGATTGTGGGGGACAGGCTCCAGGAGGGTCCTTTTGTTCTACAGTGCAGTGACTACTGTCAGCTTCGATTCGTTTGTGTATTGAGTCTAGATGAATGTATGTGAATGGGATTTATCTTGTATTTTTGTAGTAGTAATGATAATAAAGTTCTTATGTTAAAAACCACTGTCCTCAGGAGGTTCAGACCAGGGTTGGCTAGGATGTCACCCAGGCCAGGGCTGCTCCTGCATCCTGCCCCACACTGCTGCACCGCCAGCAGCGGCACGTGGGGAACATCCTCCAGAACTTCCTCTGATGAATCACCAGGCCAGGAAGGTCATTTTAAGGGTGAGAAGCTCTGTAGAAAGAATGTTTTTTTTCCTCTTCTGTTATTAGACAAGGGGGACAAGGGGGAGGCTGCATAAATGAATGAGTTCGTAGGCAGACAGTGATAAATCACTTCTCAGTGATAAGTCACTTCCCATGCACTGAGTGGATGTGGCTGGCACTGGGACATGGCAGTCTGGGGACTGAGTGCATGGAGCCACAAAGCAGCACCTGAATGGTTCTGTTCCTTCATCTCCCCAACAGCATCCATCAGGTGGTATGGTGGCAGCCCTTGAAGGTACATGTTGGCCATACTCACCCTGACCAGTCTAATCAGTGGATGTTCTCCCACCCTACAATCTCTGACCAAGGTCAGAAGGCCCATTTAAGCCCAGGGTTGGGTCGTCAATCCCTGGTTTGGGTGTTGTAGAAGCACTGATGTGATATTGTTACTCTGACCCTGTTTGCTGTAGATGGCTTATCTTCTGGATGGATGGATGGATGGATGGATGGATGGATGGATGGATGGATGGATCTCTTGGTGTTGTGGCTGTGTCTCTGGATCCATGACCTGCTGCTCCATACCTCCTAAAATGTATCCAGGACTAATTCCTCACTTTGCTGTATTTGGGGCTGCTGGTGGCCCCTGTTGCTGGCACCTGGCTCTCTGCTGTGCTCAGATCTGGTGGGACATGACCTCACCTGTGAAGTCACTGTGTGTTCTGGGGATGTGGACTGTGACTTATGAAATGTCAGCCCTGTCCCTTTTTGGTGTTGTGGTTTTTCTATGAAATATTACATCAGCCTGCACTTACGTAGGGCAGCTCAAACTAATGTACCGCCCCTGCTGGGTTAGTAGAATGGAGCATGGCCCCTTCTGAGGTCTCTCACTTCTCTCTGTGTTTTAGTCTCTGTCAGGGATCCTTGATTCTCTCCTGGAGCTGTTGGCCACGCTGCTCCTGCCAAGCTGTGTCTTGGTGCAGCCCCATCCCCCTTCAACTGCAGTCACTTCTTCTTTCTCTTGAATGTCCCAGATGCTGTGAACCCAGCGACGCTGCTGGTTAGGGACAGCCTTGGTGCAAGGAAGGCACTAAGGGCACGACAATTCTTCACTGCTGTTCCAGCTCCAGGAACTCAAGAAAGGTCGGGGTTGGAAAGGAGGCTGAAGTCCTCACCAAACACTGCTTCCATCATACACAGAAGCAGAGATTCTATCCGTTGGGAGCAGCAGCTCCTCCTCACACCCCAGGTCCACTCTTCTTTGTTAACCTGGAGCGTGCTCATAGAGTCATAGAATCACAGGGGCTGTGGAAGGGACCCCTGTGGGCATATCCTCCCTCCAGCTCTGTCACTCTTCTGCCCCAGTTGGAGAGAACTGTCATCACCTGATTATTTTCCTGCCTGGCTGCGGTGACTTCCCGGCTTCTGGGGCACACGGAAGAGCCGGTGGCGGCAAGTTGCTCAGATGATCCTCTGGGGAAAGGCTCCTGGACACGTCCTTCCTGCAGCCTCAGTGTATTATGGCTCCAGGCAGGACTTTCTGCACAGGATGTGCTTTGGTGGATCCCCAGCTTTCAGCACTCGTGGTCCCCAGAGTCCAACCATAGGAAGCAGGCTTTGGGAGGAACTCTTGCTTTCCTCCTTTAAAACTTTCCAGTCCCTAGGAGCTGCCATGATTCAAAACAGAGCCTGGGCCACAGAGGATTGTGACAACTGCATGGCTGCTCCCAACAGTGTTTTTCCAGCAGAGCACAATTATCTGCTGAGACCCCATTTGAGCTTGTGATGCCCAAATCCTTCCCCACAGTGATACAGGTGCTGGCAAACCTTGCACCTGAGGTGTCCCCAAGCTCCCTTCTTCCTCCTTTTGCAGAATCATAGAAACACCACAGTTGGAAAAGACTTCCAAGATCTAGTTCAACTGCACACTTAGCACCAATATTACCCACTTAACCATGTTCCATAGTACCAAATTATTATTAATGCTGTTTATTTTTCATGTAAATAAGCAAATTCTCCTTTGCCTGTTGAAAGGAAAGGGAATGTTAGCCAACTGCGGGACTTTCCAGCATCCCTCAGTTCATGATTGCACACCAGCCTTTTCCTTCCAAAAAAACCCCTCAAGAATAAACATCAGGCATCTCCAGGGAGTTATGCATTGTTCAGCTGTAATAGGGGTGACTTGAAAACCTGAGGAAGAGGAAGCAGTGCCAGAAAAACAAGCACAGATCCTGCTTCATTTTGCTTATTTCCTCAGGTTTGCTCCATCCAGAGCCATGTGTGGGTGTCCCTGTGCCTGCAGTCCTCTCTTGCACACTTGGCTGAGGAAGCTCCAGCCCAGCTTGCAGGGTGCCATGAGCTTGCAGCAAAGTCATGCCTACCAGTCCCCAAAATGCTTCCTTCTTGCTTGGGGCCCATCAGAGATGGGGAAATGGCTGAGAAGGGAAGGAAGGACTCACAAAGCCTGTGGGAGGATGAAAAGATGCTTTTGGGGATCAGTAGAATGGGGAACTCATTGCAGCCCATGGAGATGTTGAGTTCACTGGGTTGAACACAAGACAGGAGGAACAGCACTGTTGTATATAGAGTTATATGACCTATTTAGAAACACACAATTTTTAGTCCAGCCTACCTTGTGCTCCTAGGGTTGCTGGGTTTTTCAAGGTTCCCTATTAGGGTCCTTCACATACGAGCTGACAAAATGTTGCTTTGGGTGTTTTCGGCCCTTTGAGTGATTTTGCAGAGTTATTAATGAAGAAAGAAGCAGACAGAGTTTCCTCAATGCTTTGGCCAACTGGAGACCCCTGACAGCTGTTCAAATTTTATCCAGCATCTTCTCCTTCCAAGTGATTTCTGCACAGGGAGATGTGCACAGACACGTGGAATCATGGAACAGCTTGGCTTGGAAGGGACCAAGATCATCAAGCTCCATCCCCACATGCATGCTCACAGCAGGATACAAGCACAGGCAGTGATGTGGTGCCCCAAGCTGTGGCTCTGTTTCCCTACTGAAGGATGAGGATTGGTGACGTGGGTGCATCCCCATGTTGCTGGCTGCACGCTCAGGGCTCACAGGTTCTTGCTCCTGGGCTCATAGTGGGAGTGTGTCCTGCTCTGCATCTACTGACCATCTCCAATCTGCTGTTAGGTTCTGGCCCTAAAGGACACCAGAAAGGCAAACTTTGAGCCCAAACCCCTGCACTGAAAGAGTGGCAAGTTCATCCTTTAGGTCCCAATGGCACAGAAGTTGATGGCATCTCTTGCCATGAGCTTCCTTTGGGGTGGGGCAGCTGGAAGGAAAATGGCACAGGAAACCCCGACGTGGGGAGGCTGCTCCTGCATTGCTCTGATCTCTGCTTGTGGCTATGGGATGCAGATTGAGCAGCAGAGACCACTCTACAAGGGAGAGTTCATCTGCCCCCAGGTGTTCTTGCACCCTTGCATTATGGAGGGGGGATTTTTTATGTTCAAAAGCAAGACTCCAGTCTATCCACCCTTTCTCCTTAACATTTTTCTGGCTCTCAGAAATGCTTCTTTGTGTATAAAACACAGCATTGCCTTTCTTGTCACCACAAAATCACTCGCAGTGGATTTTGAAGGCCTTTGCTCTCTGCTTCTGTAGAGGAGGATTTCACTTCCAGCTTTGTGGCTTTCCCACAGGCCAGATTCAACTTACAGAGAAGTGGCCTGAGTCCGTTTGTCCTTTCTTTCTAGGGATCATCTCTGTCTGCAGTCTGAGAGCTGCCACGTGACACGTAAATCCCCTGGCTCTAAGAAAACACACAGGGCTTTCACTAGAAATTCATCGGAAAATTAGCAAAAATGGGGAGGTGCTGGAGAGGATAAATTGCAGCAGCTCCCTGCTGAGATAACAGAGCTCCTTAGGAGAGGCACAGCAGCACTGCAGTAAGGAAGAGCCCACGTACAGCTGCAATGCTCAGCACAAAGCCTCTCCTGCTGCTCCTGCTGCTCCTCAGCATCTCCCAGCACAGCTCCACAGGTGAGGCTGCCAGAGCCCTGCTCAGGGCTGGGGATGTCCCACTGGGGAGGATGGGGAAGCCCAGCGGGGACAGGGCAGCCCCGAGGGCTTTTGGTTGGGATGGGACAGCCTGGGCTGGTGGCTTCAGCATGGGGCTGGTGGGGCTCCATCCTGCTGCAGGAGGAGCTCACCTTAAGGTGGCAGCTGCAGGATTTGGGGGACGTTGTGTGCATCAGCCTTCTTATGGGGATAGGTCTGAAAGATTTGCTTTCCAAAGCCTGCATTCTCAGTCTCTCTTTCTCTCTTCTCCAGCCCCATATGCACCTTCAGAATGCTGTTTCACACTCGCAAAAGCTGCACTCCGGTTCGAAGTGCTGAAGAATTTCTATGAGACTTCCAGTGACTGTCTTCTGAAAGCAATTGTGTAAGTCCTGGCAATTTCCCTACCACCGTGCTGTCTCCTGGGACGCTGTATGTGTGCCTTCCCTCCACTCCATCTGGTGGCAAATCTGCATGGCCTCCATCTAAAGCATGGCGTGTGGCAGAGTGGCTGTCTGCAGCACAGAGAGGGGAGAACACGACTCTCTGGTCACTTCTATGGGGCAAGGATATAAGGCCAAGAGTCTAAAGAGGCTCCCAAAGGATGTGCACAGGATTTAGAGGCTTCAGGACAGCCTGCTCATAGAGCACCATGTGCCTGCTGTAGAGACAAAGAGAAAAGGGAAGAGGTGTGCAGAGAAGGGAGGAGGGGAGAAGCAAGGCAAGTGCTGATGGTTGTTTCCCACCAACCTTGGCCTTTCGTTTTGGCAGGTTTGAGACAAAGGGCGGGATCAAGGTCTGTGCAAAACCAAATGCACCTTGGGTGAAGAAAGCAATTAAGAATCTTCAGAAAAAGAAGGAACCTCAAGCTGTGTGATGCAGAGCGGACACCCGAGTCGAGGATCACAGCTTCCTGATGGGAAGATTTACACTCAGCCTCCTGCGGAGGTCCCCGATGCTGACAGTGACTCCCCAGAGCCCTGCAGGGCACCCGAGGTGCTGCAGCCCTGCCAGCTCCCACCTGCAGAACACAGCTCCAAAATAAAGGTTTATTTCACACACTAAAGAGGGATGGTGTCCTTTTCTCTCTCAGTCTATGCTCTTCTTCAGGCTTCACTGCCTCCTGAAGCCTTGTGGGTCTCATGTGGGCTGGGCAGGGAGGGAGTACAGTGGACTGAGAGGCTCTGAGCACACCCATCACATAATGCAGCCCTGGCTGGAATTATTCTGGATGTATACTTGCTGAATTACAGTCTCATCCCTATATGTCATCTTGTTTCCTGGCATCACATCCCCAGCACATCGTTCTTTGCAGCAGCTGCAGTCCCTGGCTGCCACCCCAACTTCTGCAGAGCTCTACAAAGCAGCATCAGAGCCCAATCCACATTGCTGAGACACCAGCAGCAGCATCCAGGCCCAGCTGAAGCTGCCACCCAGATGAAAGGGCAGGGCTGGGTGGCCTGTTCCATGCTGGAGGGAGGGGATGGTACAGTGGCTGCAGCTGGCATGCTCTCCTGCTCCTACAAGTCTGTGCAAGGCCTCCCAGTGTGCAGCCATGATTCTATAGTGGTGAGCAGTCTGTGTTGTGGCCACAGCAACCTCGGTCTGAATCCGAGTCACAGCAGTGGTTTTCCAGCGATCAGGCTGTGCACAGACAGCACTTTGCAAATGCAGAGGGGGCAGCTGCAGGGAACGGAGGCTTCTGTACCCACAGGGTGGTCGTTGGAGATGGCAATGGTGGAGATGGAGGAGATGGTGGAGATGGTGGAGATGCACAGCAGCATCTGAGCCATGTGAGCAAGCATGTGGCCCCTGAGCTGAAGACCAGATTCTCAGCAATGTCCCTCTGACATCTGATGGAAGAGTCCCTGAGGAGTCTGTCTTGTTGCTCCGGATTCAAGCTGGGCTTGGAAGCCAGTTTGGCTCTAAAGAAGCACGTGGCTCAGAATGCTCTGGCAATTGCCCTGTGGGCTCTGCCCGCAACTGTGCAGCAATCCCAGGATGAGGAAGTGCTGCTGCATCACCACCCTGTTGTGCTGAAGCTGGTTTGCCCAGGGCAGAGGCAGTCTTGCTGCAGCACAGGCAGTGCTGCTGGCTGCAGGGGGAGGTGGGCACCAACCTGGTGGACATAGAAGCCCAGAGGCAGTGTGAGGACCCCAACCCCACCAAGCAGTCCCTGGCCATGTTCTCTGTTGCTGTCTGGGACCTGAGACTCCCTGGTGAATCCACAAGGTCTGGGTCAGGGCTGGGCAGCATAGCACCCTGGGGAGGAATGGCAGGAATCACACACAGGCACCTGAACCAGCACCTGGATCACAAACACCAGGGAACTTCATCCCTTGGAGCTGTCTTTTCCAAGAGAGAGCAGGCTGACCTTCAGGCAGAAGGACCCTTCTGGCCTCTCCCCTTTCCTGTGGTGCCTGCAGCCCTTCCAAGCACAGGCAGTGCGTCTGCAGGACTGGCAGGGTGGTTGGCTGTGACTGTGCCAGTGGGTTCATGTGGGTACAGAGTCAGGGAGAGGAGATGTGTCCATGCTGCAGTGCTTGTCCCTCGCTCCAAGCTGCAGCTGAAGAAGGAGGTATGCAGGAAACTCATGTTTCACACCACCAGAAAATGCCTCCAGATAGAGCTGAAATGCCTCTCTGGGGTAATGCAGTGCTCCTTGAAAAAGCTCTCCAGAGGCCATGTGAACTCCAAAGGACTTCTGCAGCCTCGTGGAAGCAGCTTGTGGCATGCACTGCCTGCCCAGTGGATTCCCCAGCAGCTCACTGCTGACCTGTGCCTGTGTATTTCCCCAGATTGGAGACCACCTTCATGCCTGAGGAGCAGCGTGAGATGCTGGAGCTCCACATCCACACAGGTGCTGCAGCTCTGTGGGGAGCGTGTGGCAGGGAGCAGCCATCCCAGTGAGCTGTGCTGGGGCAGGACAGGAGCAGGACAGCCTTGGAGAACAAGCGAGAAGCCCCAAACTCCTGCACCTGGGCCAACACGGCCCAAAGGACAGTGCTGGCACTGAGCATACGCCATGGACAGAGCATCACCCTGACAGCCTCCATCAGAATGCCTGAGTGGGAAAGGAGGCAGATCATCTGGATGCTGGCATCTGGCCTGCAGGCCACATTCTGCAGTCAAAAATCAAGGCCATGATGATGATCCCCATCTCCTTCCCCTGCATCAGCCCCAGGGAAGCAGAAGGGCAAGGCAGCGGAAGGACCATGGACTCCCGTTGCATCAACAAGGATGGGAGGCCACATAGTGATTCTGGGGCACGCACTGCCTGCCCAGAGCACTCCTTGAGAGCGCACAGCCAACCTGTGCCTGTGTACTTAACCAGCCAGGAGAGCACCTTCATGCTGGAGGAGCAGCGTGAGATGCTGGAGCTCCACATCCTTGCCATGAAGCTGCAGTGCCATGGGGAGCACCTTGGCACCGAGCGGCCATCCTGGTGAGCTGTGTTGGGGCAGGACAGCAGCAGGGCTGCCCTGGAGAGCAACTGACAGGCCCAGAAGTCCAGCACCCAGCCCAACATGGCCTGCACAGCAGTGTGTGCTCAGTGCCATTGCTGTGGACAGGGCTTTGCTCCAACAGCCTCCATTAGGATGCTTGAATGGAAAAGGAAGCAGATCATCCAGGCGATGGAGGCTGGCTTGCAGGCCGTGGCCCACAGTCTAAGCCCAGGGATGTGACTGCAGTCCCCATTCCTCAGCACCTCCTTCCCCTGCATCACCCGCAGGGAAGCAGAAGGGCAAGGCAGCAGAGGGACCATGGACACCCATCACATCTGCAAGGATGAGGAGATCCCAGAACGATTCTGGGAGGGACAAAAGCATGGAGTCCAAGCAGATGGCTCCTACAACCCCAATAAGGAATAAAGTCCAACCTTTTGACCTGCTTGGGATGCACTGAATGAACAGGAATTGCCTTGGGACAGATACAGAATGTATTATAGAGTTAGTATTTATCTGTAGCAGGACTTGCTTTGTTTGAAAATTAATAACAACAAAAACAGAAAACTGGTGAAATATTTGTTTCTGCTTTTGTGATTCTAACAGATCGATGTCAGATTCAATGGAAGTAGCTGCAGTATTCTGCAATGCTCTTGCCCTAGAGCCAGCCCATGGGCTCTCTCCTCCCTCTGCTCAATCCTGTGCACTGCCTCCCATGTGCAGCTGTGATCGTATAGTGGTCAGTACTCTGCGTTGTGGCCGCAGCAACCTCGGTTCGAATCCGAGTCACAGCAGTGGTTTTGCAGAGATAGGGCTGTACACAGCCCTGCTTTGCAGATGCAGAGGAGGGAGCTGCAGGGGAGCTCATGAGGTGTGTTTGCAAAGATGCTGTCACTGAGCGGCCACACACGCTAATTCTGAGATGAAATTGTTTCTCGTACCCAACCTAAACCTCCCCTGGCACCTCATGAGGCTGCCACCTCTCATTCTATTGCTGTTACCTGGGAGCAGAACTGCCTGCGGAATCCTTTTCCATAAGAAAAGTGGCATTGGAATTTGTGGAAAGGTGAGGAAGAGCTAGAAATGACCTTAAAGCTGTGCTGGGAGCTGATAACTTTGATGGTTCAGAGTGGTGCCATGGCCAGCTCTGTGCTGGGCTGCCAGTCTGATGGGCTGCTGCCCACCTCTTCCATAACAGTGTCATCAGCACATTTGATTTTTCTTCTCCTTTCTTCTTCCAGGGAAGCCATACAGACATAAGTTCAAGGAACTCTTGTTCTCTTCTTGTTCTCTGCTTCTCTGAGAAGCCCTGCCCTGCCCTTCCTCATCCCGTCCCACCCTCCCTCTCACTGCCACCCCACGTGGGTCCCCCAGCCACCCCTGGGTTTAGATCTTGGTGTAGAAGCTGGGTGCTGCCTTCAGTCCCTGCCCCTCCTGACCTGGGATCAGATTCAGACTCAGCTCCCCTGCTGTTATGGCCCCCGAACCACCTGGGAGCTGCAGCACACCCTGTGATATGAAAACGGGGGGGGTGACCTCATTGCAGCCTTAAAGGGAGTCTATAAACAGGAGGGGAATCAACTATTTAAAAGGGTAGGTAACTGCAGGACAAGGGGAAATGGTTTAAAGTTGAGGGAGGCGAGATTGAGGTTGGATGTCAGGGGGAAGTTGTGTACTATGAGAGTGGTGAGGTGCTGGAACAGCTGCCCAGAGAGGCTGTGATGCCCCGTCCATCCCTGGAGGTGTTCAAGGCCAGGTTGGATGGGGCCCTGGGCAGCCTGGCATAGCATTAGAGATGGATGTTGGCAGCCCTGCCTGCAGCAGGGGCTTTGGAGCTTTGTGATCCTTGAGGTCCCTTCCAACCCGGCCCATTCTGTGGTTCCGTGATGTGGTTGCAGGATCTGGCACCATTCCCCCCTCCATCTGTGTCAGCATTCAGAGTTGGTGCCTCTACCTCGGGCTGTTGTGTCAGTTTCTGTGACCCCAGGCCCCACCAGCAGCTCCTGCAGGCACGGAGCTCCCTGTGTGCTGGGCCCATTTTTCAGCAGCCCCACAAAGCACAGGCTCCACACAAGCACTTGCACATGGATGTGTATTTTAATAAAAATAATTCTGTCAATATACAGCAGAATGTTGATTTCTTTGCCACATTTCCAGTATATTCTCATAGGCTTTTCTCAGTTAAAATCCCCCCCCCCCCATTTTTGTTGTCGGTTGTTTTTTTCTTTTTTTGAAGTTTTCATGCGAAGCATCAGATAACTTAATTCACAACTACTACGCTTAGACTGAACCAACGTGCACAATGTGTGGAACGTCCACGTAGCCGACGTTGTGCCAGAGAGGAGGAAACCCTCCAACGGCGCTGACAAGCGTGGTGATCTGCTTTGCTGCAGCCCCCCTGCAGCCCTCGTTCCCCAGCTCCAGCCGAGCAGTTCATACCTGAGTTTTGAGTTCACTGTGCTGCAGGCAACTCCGTGCCTGGCACTGCTGGGTCCTGGCTGGAGAGCCACGGCGTGGGAGCATCCTAATGGAAGTGTTCACCTATGTGATGTCCTTTGTCTGAAAGAGTGACCACACTTTTGTGCTGAACGTTTTCTTGCTCATCC